CTACTACTACTACTACTACTACTACTACTACTACTACTACTACTACTTCAAAATGATGCTCAAAGCAGTGATTTCTTAAAGAATATCCAAAGCCTTCTCTAGCACAGCTCCAAGAATCTTCTTGACCTCCACTGTGGTGGCAGTCAAACTCGGTGCAGACCGGATGGCCACGCGATCAAACCTTGGGAGCTGGAGCACAGCCAACAACAAAGAGATTCGATCCAAACAAACTCATGCTGCCGTTGGACGAAATGGATGCAAATGTCTGAGTTTGATTGTCAAGCACATGCTTCAACTTGAGTCTAGTAGAGAACATTCTGAACCCAAACGCATGTGCTTTTGGAACCGATCCCAGTGACACCACCTCGTAGCAAGCCCCAAAGCCCACCGGCAGTAGAGGCTCTGCCCCTGGGGCGGATGTCTCCGGCCGAATCCTGAAGTCAATGGTGAAGCGTTTTTTGCTGTGTGTCCCTTGAGAAAATATCATAAAAATATCACCAAACTGGGGCAAGAATAACAACCTTTTATAATCTTTGATTCAAAGCCTTGGATTCAAAGCCTTTGATGTAAAGAAGGGAAGAAACTCGGAGAAATGGCAGGGTCTCTTCTTAGCAATCGATTTCTGTCTCACCTGATTCATTCAACTCTTTGAAAGCGATCAAGCAAAAGGGATCAACATGACTACGTGTCTCGAGAGGCAAAAGGAGTCCAGTTGCCAAGATTATCTCAAACAGCCGAGTGACAGCTGTCGACCTCGAGCTGGAGACACAGCTGTGGGACTCGCTGTGGGCACTTCCTGTGGACCAATGCTTTCGGAGTCTGTCACAGCAAGTAGTCCGGAGTATCGCTACGGATTTGCAACTGAGTAACTGTTGCCTTGATTTTTGGGATGCCGATGTGTTCAATCCAATGGGCAGTGCACTCCTTTCTTTGTGGAAGCATTTTTGTTTGCATGCGAACAACACCTTTTGGGCCGAGGGCACATCGCCACCATAGCCATAGCCCTCTTTGCCAAAAAGCATCTGACCAAGCTGCCTGTCAGCCTCCCGCCGGCGCTTTCATTGAAGTCCATGACACCGAGTCGCACGACTTTGCAGCAACTCAACTTGATCAATAATAGACAAGGGAAGCAGTCTGATAGGAATTGCATGGGACCTTGTCGCCATGGGTTGGGATTTCTAAGACAGGATCCAATTTACAACAGCCGTGGCACTGGCAGCTTTCGTCGTCTGTTTCTGCAAGAACACTCCAGTCCTCCTCTTCATTCAGCTTAATCACGGCAGACTCCTGCTGTTGTTGCAGGCACGCATTGATGATGCAGGACAGTATATATATTATATTAACCACACTGACATGCTCAATATGGGTTGAGTCAATATGGTATGGCAAATTGTAGGCTGTACCAAATTGCACTTCTGTTAAGACTGGAGGTGAGACCTGACTTTGCTTCACCACCTCACGGTGGTTCCGCGATGTCCCACGATGTCCAAACCGACTCCTTTGGGTTTGCGGCCTGGTTCACGGGTCGAAGAACGCAGGCATTGCCAATGTGCGTTGGAAGATATCTTCTGCCCACCTCACCGGTGGTCGATTTCGACCGAGGACGGGTACCGGGTCCAGAGCGGTCCAGAGGGGTCCCGAGGTTGGCGGTGGTGGGAAACCTCTCCCATACAGTACACACACAACATGGAAACTGGATGAAACTGGATGGTTTTGGGCGGGAGCGTGTGTCAGGTAGCCCGAATCTTCAGAGCTTCTTTATGTGAAAGATCAATTGAGCATACGCCTGTGAATTCCACCTGACCCCCAAACGGTACCCGCAGGGTTCTGGCACTATAAAATCTGGACACCCAAGGTAGAAAAGAAGGGCTGCAGAATATAGAATCACACACCCCATGCTTCAAATCTGGACCACTATAGAATCACCAGCAAAAATGGTCCTCTATAGATTCACGCACCCTAATGGAAATATCAGGTCGATATAGTTGATAACATAGAGTAGGTGGCCTCATTCTTTAGTGACACCCCAGGGTTCCCACATGGACGTATTTCTCAAAAGTGCTCCTAGGTTAGACAAACCTCCTTTAAAAAGTTATTGTCAACAAGGTTCAAGAAGATAACGTGCGCACATCCGCAAAGCTTCAGCGATGGTGAATTTTACCATACACTTACGCGGTGGCTTCCGCAAGCTTCCACGACTGCAGTTTTGGCTTCCGCTGGCAAGTTGGAGTTTACAAGTGTGCTTAAACTGTTTGTTGGAGGTTTTTGACGCTGCTCACATCCATCCAGGCTTCTCTATAAAATGAAGCCTTCTCTATAAAATTGTCTCTATATAATGAAGCTACGAGTACCCGGGGTTACATACTTCGAGTACAAGAGCCATCATCAACATCCTTGCCTCTATAAAATCCATGCACCCAGGGTTTATATTGCCCTAAAACAAGGATTTCTATAAATTTACATAACTTGACCCACCCCAGGGTGGGTCAATTTATAGAGAACCACTGGATTTTTTCTCTATAGAATACCCTATATAAAATGCACCAACATGACCCCCAGGGTTGCATGGTTTATAGAGGAAATTCGCTGGACTATAATTGAGCTGAATTAGTATTGCCTGGGAGTTTGCTCTTTGCTGAGTTACAGAAGCCAACAACAGCTCATCCCACAAATGCATTTTTGTAGAAGAACAGCGAAACGGCCACTAAAACTTCTACACCCAAGGCTGAGAACAATCATTCAATTCCACAGAGGCATGCATTTCTTCTCTAGCCCGTTGTGCCCTGCCGCCTTGACCCAGCCATCTAGAGGTATGCCACGCACCTGATTCACTACTACATTACTACATGAAACTGAGCCAAAGGCCACAGGCATGTCTTGAATCTGAAGGAATTGATGTCCAAGGCAGTTCCAGCAACCCGGAAAAGTCCGGGACATACAAAGATACACATATAAACTCTAATTACGTGTCTGCATGACTTCAGGGGTGGCTCTTTTCGAGCAAGCAAGAACACGTGCCTTCGAACCAAAGATTGCCACCTTCGGATGCTTGTCGGCCATGTTTGGAGACACACGATACCTGGACTGTGCAGCTGTGTAGCGCGTAGCGACGCACGTCTGGGAGAGGTTGAAGAAAGTTCTCTTCTTCGTTCCCCTCCTTTTTGTTTCGAACCGTCGAATGTCCAAGATCGGAGGGCTCTATATAGCAGTTATGGAAAACAGCTCGTTCAGAAATAATGGTACAAGTAGTTTCTTTGGGAATTTCGAATGTTTTACTCCGAAACTACCGATTTATTGATTTATGATTCGGAGGGAAACGATCCGGGGAGGCTGAGGCGGGAATCCTCGACACCGATGATACCAAGTTGCAGACTTCGGACGTTGTTGGTTGCCCAATTTCAATGATGATGCAAGAATTGAACACTCAAAGGCGACTAGTAATTAGTTCATTACTTCGGGTTTGCACTGGAATCTTTCAGGTTTGTCTGGTCGCCACCTCTTGTTGGTAACAACAAATGATAGCTATAGGTTCTCCTATTCTGCACACATTTGGGAACTGCAAAAGGAAGCAGTCGCAGCTTTCAAATTTGCTGCGCATTGCATCGGAACATGGTGGTTCCAAATCTGAGGTTCTTGGGCCATCCAACAAACTGCTTGTACCATTTTGTACGTGAAGGAAACTGAACATTGACAATAAAAGTTATCTTATGCAATCATAATCGTACCAATGCCAACGAACCCTGATCACTCAGCAACTGCAAACGTACATTCACAGCAACATAATTGGACCTCCAGCAGAGAAGCGGTAAGTCTCTACCCCAAGGTTCCTTGACGCAAGTAGTTCTGAAAGGTTGTTTCGGAAACATAGTGTCCGAAACGCCAGTAGAAAGAGCTTTTGTTTGTCAAGTCTGAATTGCTCAGGGTTTCCACCTGTTGCATCTGTCCCAGCTACGTGTTGTAGCCCTACCGCTGACACACTGGTCGGTTCGGTAGAAAAAGATCTTGGAGTACAAATGAACGTGCAAGACAAAACTAATTAGCGACAACAGCATCAAGTCCGAAACGCCACGTCTTCAGTGTTCGTCCACCCCCTTCGAGAATCAAACGGGCGAATCCTTCAAGTTCACTCGTAGAAATGAAAGGCCGGAAACCAAAAATCGCCCCCCGAGGGAGGGCACGTCCACAATGATGACTCTGATCCCTTTCATGGCGTCCTGGAATGAGTCCCTGGTTGCGCTGAGCACACACGGCATCAAACATTCGTTTCAAGTGTCGTACCAAGACGGCGAAATCATCAGTTGCGGCAACCGATGAAAAACGAAAGTGACGCACCACAAAGAGAAAGGCGAGTTCAACATACGCGACTGAAAGGTTCGCACCGGCTTTCCACTTAAGTGCAAGGATGAAGGATTGAAGAGCATCACAGTCCTCGTCAGAAGAAAATGATCCGCAGCAATCCACCACAGAATGGGTATGCTTGGGTTTCCAAGAGAAAAGGGAGGCATCTGGTGTCCAATCCCATTCTGGAAAACGGCTGCGGACAGAAAATTCCTGGTCAGGAGCTTGTTCCTCCTTGGTGAGGTACACATTCTTGATCGGCTGATCCTTGCCTATTGCACAATTTAATCTCGCAAGGCACGCCTGTCGTGTGAAGACTTCGTGTTTCAACACAGTGAACATGGAAGGTGCGACTGGTGCAAGATCAAGTGCAAAGGCTTTGGCATGGCTATCGGCCAATTTATTGCAAATAAGGCATTGTCGTGGCCAGCCAAGCTGTGCAGCCACTTCATCCGTGATTTCACTCACTTGAATATTGTCACACAAGTGTGCCGGGATCCATTGAACCCTCAAGGGATCACCTGACACAGCTGATCGCAAATTATAGACTTTCAAAAGTTCTTTCCACCAGACGGAATGAGCCCAACCCTTGGGCACGAGGCGTTCCCGAAGGAGTGTACCAAACTTGTCAACAAAGGTTTTGCAGTCCGTATAGATAAGGATGGGGCCCTGTGAACAAAAGAAAGTAAATATAATTGCATATAGCTCAGCAGTGAACGAAGAGAGCGCAAAGGAATTGACACGCCCTTTGTAAATACATTGCTGGCTTTCATCAACCGCAGCAAAGGCAGCTGTTTGAAGCCAGAAGGATTCAGCGTTGACCATTGACCCATCCGTCCAAAATTTCTTGAGGGGCGCTGTCACGCAGAACTCAACAGGATGTGGTAGCGGAGTTGGCTCAAGTCGGACATCGCATAAGCCCGCAGGGTGTTCGACAATTCCGAGGCTCACAAAATTTGGTCCGAGATCATGCTTCGGAGCATTTTTCACCTCTTCAGGTGCGGCCTGGCATTCATCCACCAAATGCCAAAGAGACTCCTTAGTTTGATGACAGTACCGACACTCGGAAGAATCACAAAAACCAACTGCTGCACGTCTGTCATTGGTTATAGTACAACCAACGATTTGCGATTCGAAGTGTGGAACTAAGTTTGTTTCATTTGGCACAGCTTTATACTTTTTCAAGAAAACCGTGGACAAAGGGAAATCTAGAAGTCCAGTGGGACGCATGATGTCTTTTCGAGTTCGGAAACTAACCCGTTCATAAGCATTTTGCCGTCCCATGATACGGAGGAAGTTGCATAAATCTCGAGTACAAACGTCCAGGATGTGATATTTGTGTTTCCCAATGCCGATTTGCAAATCAGGAAAAAGGCGAAGGTGAAAAATCTCACAGGCTTGAGAGATATGCCTCAACAAACTATGTTGTTTATTAATAGAAAAGGAAAACATTGCTTGCAATCTGTCCAACATCAAAGGATGATCATGGATGAATCTCCAAAAACTTCTCAAAGCGCAGTATGCTCTGGCTACCGTGGGTTCAGTGTGGCAAGGCTGCGACAAGAAGGTGAAGATCATCATTTTGGATCTCCAATGTGGTCGGTGACCCCATAGGGCCGAGGCGATCCCACTTTCAAATTGATTCAGCGCTTTCTTGGGAATTGAAGAGATGTCTGAAGCAAAAGAAAACTGAGGGATAACCTTAGAAGCAATAAGTTTCTCTTTCACCTGCCCCTTTACCGGAAGGGCAGAAATATTCTTAATGTCCATACAGATCTTTGTGGTCTTTTCATCATCAAAGAGAAATGATTTTCTATCTGAAGTGTAGATTTTAGTGCCTAAAGCATCGAATTCCAACACGATCGGTATCAGCGGAAAAACGGCTGAAGCGGCTTTACGGGCTTCTTTGGAAGAGGCAAAGAGGGAGCTCTTCGCAGGGTTGAGCTGCTGTCCAACAAGACTGTTCCATTGTTGCGTGACTTCGAAAGCAATACACAGATTATGAATGTTAGACAATTTTGCCCACAGATAGGCATCATCAATGAATGCTTTCGAAAAAATGCCTGGAATCAAAGTCATGAATTTAGACCAGACAGCCATGTAGGCATTAATAGCCAACAAAGAGAAACTGCAACCCTGTGCAATTCCGTTTGCCGCAGTAGTCGGTTTCCTAGAAGTCCAACCACGAAAGGAAAGATGCTTCTTGAGACCTTGGTAAAGCTTTAAGAACATGCCGACAACGCCCTTAGGCATACCAAAGACTAGAAAAAGAGCACCAGCAAATGAGGGTACGATTCGATCGAAACATTTGCTTTGGTCAAGCTTGATGCCCACAATTGGGTCATGTTCGGCTTGTGCTTCATCGATATCAACCCGAAGACCAACACTAATGTCCGCCATGTTGCGGCCTTTGATGCCCCCACACAAAGTGGAATCAAAAACTTGCTTCTGCCACGCTTGCAGCTGTCGGAATCTGGTTCCAGAGTAAGCAAGGAACAGTGGCGGTAGTATTGTTATGAGACGCTTATTTATGGGGGTGGAAGGGCCTGGTTTGTTGAGGATGATTTGTTTTGCACGTGTTAACACATCAGGCAAGGATGCATCATAAGTATCCTCCAAGGTGCGAAAAAACAGTGCAATAGCATCACAGCATACCAAAGGCAACCGCTGAGTGTCTGCAGTGCGCCATCCATCTAAACCGGCTGCTGCATTCGGATTGCGGTCTTGGATGGTTTGGTAAATATCCTTACCACTGAGTGGAGGCAGGTTGAAAGTGGGGATGTTCTGGTCAATGTGGGGCCAGATCACTTCCAACATACGCATGGGGTCAGCGTGAAGGACATTCGCACTGAAGATGGCGTCCCACTTATCATTGATAATACTGATTGCCTCATGGGGGTTAAAGACAATATTACTGTTATCATCAAGGACTAAGTTGACAGGCTCATCTTTGCTCTTGTTACGCAAGTGATGAAAGATATATTTCTTATGCGTAAGTGCAGACTCTCTGATTTTTGTTTTCCATGAATCCAATCGTTTCTTCTTTTGGGTTGTTTCCAAAATGCGAATCTCTTCCTTGACCCAACAAATGTTCACATAAATATCCATCAAGCAAGGCACATGCGGGTGTGCCCAACAATGAGGGGATCCCAAATCGGAAAGGGCACGCCACACCCTGTGGGAAGTGCGCTGAAAGATAATTTGATCAGACAACTTATTAGAACATCTCTGGGATCGAGTTTGTAACTCCAACAATCTATTGTGGGAGTTATATAGCAGGGAGGCATGTCTGGAAACGGCAGACCCAGTGGGGGTTTGCCCTGGAAAAATCTTCTTAGCCTTAAATTCGGGTAGGACACCTCTGGCCCTCTTTCCAAATCCCCAAACAGCACCATTGGCTTTTAAGGTGTCCAGGCAAAAATCATTTACCGTGGCCCAAAGCAAGTCTGGTGAATCAGCTTGGGCGACAGCTTCCGAGTATTTTGCTTCCCAAAGTTGCAAGGCATTTTGGTTGGCTTGGCAATCGGAAGAAGCGTCAGGAAGCAAAGTATTCTTGTGGTCAAGTTCCGCAAACTTACAATGAATCTCCCCAATTTGACACAGTGGTGCCCACTCAAAACACGCACGGATCGGCCTATGCTGGTGGTCAAATGACTCAATGACTTCAATGGATTTTAAGGCGGCAAAAGCAACTTGATTCACTAGGATAGCATCTAACGAGGAACAACCTTCCCCGAAACTCGTGAAGGTCCTGTCAGAGGAAAACGTGATTGGTCGTTCAAAGCGGCCTTCAGAATCAACAGTTGTCAAAGGGTCATGCCACCCTTGGAAATGGATGGCACCAGAAACACTAGGGTAATTCATGGGGAAAGTTTGCAGGTCACCTGCAATCAAGACCGGGATACTGCCGAATTGGGCCGACACCTCAAGAATGTCTGCAAGGAGCAAATCGTTTTGTTCCAAAATCTCTTGATTAGCAGAGGCCCCTGATTTTGCATATACAGAGAACACGAGAACACGAATACTCGGCGTGGCTTGGATCCAGCACGCGTTGGCTCTTTTGGTGGAAAAAATCTGCGTGTATTTACCGGAAATGTCTTCGGAAGGATCAAAAGCCCTGGTGAAGCAACTATTTGCAACAATTGCAGTTCCACCATGCATTGTAATGTGGTGTCCGTCTGTTCGCATAATGCCTGACAGGAGCTCTCCGCAAAAGAGGGTTTTGTGGGTAGCCTCAACCAACTTCTTAGAAGCCTGCCAGTTATTTTTCCCGATTCTAGTTTCTTGGAGGCAGTAAGCCTGGTCATCCGTTCCCTTCCAAAAGGAAGAGGTTTTGAGACTCCCGATATTAAGGGTGGAAATACTCCAGTATTTGAGGGGATCATTCAAGCAGCTTATGGGCCCTTCGCCAGGGAAACCAAGTGTGGCATTGAATAAAAGAAGCACATATGGTTTGCGCCTCCCCCCTCCCACATGAAACAGGCGAAAACGCACTGTCGCTTTTTGTGACACGAACGTGAAGTCTGTTGTCGATCGAATTGGATGGCAAAAGTCCACGAACACGGCGGCAAAAGTCATTTCCTCCGAGTGTTGAAGGCTGAGACGGCCACGATGTCGAAAAGTGGACATGACATATGGCAAAAGCACAAGTCAACGGGACATTGAACAAAGTCCAAAGCTCAAAGACGAAAAGTGCAGCATTGAGAAGAAGAGCAATCAGGGAGATTGCAAACCCGAAGGACGGCACCATCCGCAGGACAGTGAAAAGCCACGAAACAGGGTTGCAGCCAAGAAGGCAAGACAAGGAAAATCCAAATAGGCACGGCACGAAAACGGAAGGCACCGTCATCCACCATCACAGATTATCTGCTTGGCGAGGAATCTTGCCTGGAGGCGTCTCTCCAGTTGGCTCACGTGTGTGGGAGCTGCCGGCAGCTTGCAGGAGTTGTCTGAGTGACGATTGGATATCGGAGAACCGATCGTCGACTTTCTTTTCCATCCTGTCCTGTCTGGATTCCATCTTGTCGAAGCGATCAACCGCTGACTCTCGACACTCCTTTGGGCCTCAAGTCCAATCTGACTGGAAGGAGTGAAGGATGGGTTCCGACCAGCATCCGTGTTGGCAGTAGTACCAGGGCGCGCATTCGACTCATCTTGCCTCTTGGCCTTCTTCACATGGTTGGGAGGCTTCCCAAAAGGCTTTGCAAAGGGTGTCAGCTCTTCCTCAACTAGGAGTATCTCGAAGGTTCCCTTGTTGATCTCAAGAGAGAAACGCTGAACCGAAGGCTTTGACCCGAATGCGAGCACCCACCCATGAACCCCTCCAGCCCTAAAAGCTTTCGTGGGGATGGGTGCAAGGCCCACTGCTTGGAGTGTTGAACTAACAACAGCCTGTGGATCGATCGCAGGCGGCCAGCCTGTTGCATTGTATGTGAATTTCGGAACAATGGCAAGGTTCTCTTTGGTGAGTCGAGCATCACCCGGCAAAACGGCCGTTCGAACACTGGCTATGCCACTATCCCAGGCTCGGCATGCGAGGCCTCTTCGAGTCAAAACGACTCCGGCGAAGCCATCATTTTCTTTGATGACGATCCTCAGCTCTGCAAGGTCCTTAGCCGTGGGTGGCCAGAATTTCGGAACGACCGAGTGGTCTTGCACACTAGGTGACTTGTCGAAGAATGGCCGAAACAAAATGCATGACATGCCACTCGATTGAAGCAGGATCTTCCGCTTGGCTGAAGGGGCCTTCACGATGCACTGCCACTGTTGATCGCTCTTGGATGAAGTGGCATGTCTTCCAACCCTTAAAGCATAAAAGCTCAAGACGTCCTTCAGGTCAGGATGCATGCGAAAAACGATGGCTTTCATGAACTCAATGGGTGCAGCTTTCACGGATTCCAACTCATGCACGGCAAGGAGCCGTGAGTCAATTTCCAACACTAGCTCAATTACTTCGGCTGTGGTGAGCGTAACTTTTGGCTTTGGCAGTTGGAATGTCACACCATCATGCAGAGTGAGCATCAGGATCAACCGTTTGTATTCCGCCTTGAGGGCGGGGTCATACAGCACGATTTCGAATGGTCCTGTGATCTTCTTTGCGACATCTCCGAAGCCATTCACGTCAGCGTTGGGAAGGATCACGGCAGTCGGTCCAGTCGGATTTGATCGAATGATGTCAGCAATTGCTCCCTTGGTGGCAAGAATGATCCCGTTGCGTCGGGACACTGCTTGCAAGCGGTGCGTTTGTGGCAAGACCGCACCATCGGCTCCTAGGAATGGATGATTTGTTGGCAAAACAAGGTCTTCCCATTTGGTTGAGAAGAGCTTCTTTGGCTTGGTGGAAGACCAAGGGTCCTTGAGCAACCAAGGGTCTGCCGAGGCATCAGAGGGCTCTGCGGTAGTCAAAGCTTTTGCATTGTCACCCGGGCCTCCTGCAGCTCCGACAGAATGGGTGCAGCGACCCTGGAGTACCTGCACAAGAAAAGCCTGCCGGACATCATACGCAAAATCGGAAAGGTCAGTGGAAACATCTGTTTCTTCCCATGCTTCGATGGCGAGTCGATTGATCTCTTGCAGTACATCGAAATGTCTTGAGGCACGAAGGATGGCCAAGGTCGGGACCGTGGTGTCTGGGCGCATCAAACCCTTGCGGATGTAGAGACCATGGATCAAGGCCCAGCCACAAAAGTGCGGAGCAGTGACAAACGGCACATAGATGACCTGGATCGCCGAAAGGTCAAGCCCAAGTGACCCAGCCAATGCATGCACAACACGAGTGGCGGTTGGGAAAACTTCCGGAGGAGCCGAGACAAAGAAGGACGCAGGCTGTCGATCTATCTTGGTCATATCGATTTGGATCCAGGTTGAGCTAACAATGCACATCCACGACACTTTTGCATGGAAGCGGAAGTCCGGTCGTAGGGAGCCGAAGTACAAGAGTCGAGCACTCTGTTCGTCCCAAAAGCACGGAGGACAGAAGACTTCTTGAAGGCAAACACGACGTGGCAATTCCAGCAAAAAATCCAACTCATCAGAAGCCAGCCACGAAGCATGGTCACGAAGGTGCACCAAACGGCCAAGCACATGGAATTCCGGCATAGCAGGATGGATGATGGACAAAGGACTGGAACGCACAGGGGCAGGAACATCAGAGTCCATGAAGTGCACAAACAGCCGAAAGTCAGTGACCGACAGATTCTGCCCGGCACGTAGAGCTAAATAGACAAAGAACGCCCTGCGGAGCTTGGAAGGAATCAACCAATCATCAAGACCAATTCCAGCTCGAATCCAGTCTTCAATGGCATTGGTAACCACCTCATCAATCAACTGCTGTCGATCAATAGGGAGGGTCGAGAAACCATCGTCTGTGGGAGGCAACATATCATCCATGCCAGACAAGGTGATCCACCGCCGCAACAGTTGCCAGCCACACATATGGGGCAAGTCCGGAAGAGCAATGCAGGTGCACTGGAGCATGTCCGGTGTGAGATCCATCAGCCTGGCGACCGCCGCAGCAACCCTCGGAAGGAAGGGCTGAGGAAATCCAACAGCTTGCACAGTGACGACATGGCTAACACGATTTATCTCAATGGCGGCCCAGTGACCACCGGCAAGGACAGGCATGATAGTGAGCCTATTGTTTGGAATGCTGATCTCACTGTAAGAGGTTTCATCGATGTCAGCAGTGTCTCGG